GGGGGCACGTGTGTTAAGCATACCGGCTGCTTTGCAAGGTAGTACCGGGTAGCTACTTTCAGTCACACATGTCGATCCCTGTCGCACCCCCCAAGCAACTCAGAAGGCCCAAGCAACTCAGCCGCTCCGAGCCCTTCGGTCCGTCAGATCCATCAGGTTACACCACGAGGTGGTGGACTTGTTAGCTCCGCTTCCTCCAACGCCCAGCGCAGATGTGGAGTTAGTCGAGCTGCGGGGCGCTGGGGCGCAGGCATCGGGAAGGGAAGCATTTTGGCCACGGGTCGTGGGTGGCCACGGAAGAAGATCGGAGACTTCCGCCTGAGAGCAGAGTGAAGGACTTCTGCAGGGTCCTTCCGATATCTGATCTGCATCATTCATGTTCCAAGCAGTTTGGACACAAGACCAATTCGGAGTTCTAAGCAGTGTTCTTTATTTGGCAGGATTTGCCAACGGATTTGCACGGCATGTTACCTTCAGTTTGAGATGAGTTCAAGTTGAAGCTCCTGTTGAAGGCTTCGAGTTCTCCTGCGGATGTAGAGGGATGTTCTCACCAGCACACCAGCTGCCAAGACCTGGTGGCTTCACCTCACCACCGAGTTTGACCGCGCAAGGTGTGTGGCCTCCAGGAGCCCTTGGTGCAGTCCATCGAAGAGGTCCAGGCGCTGGTGGACTACGGGAACCAACGCCGCGCGGCCAACGAAAAGCTTCTAGGAGCGCTGCAGGTGGGTGGGACGTTTACCCAGTGGCACTGGGGGGATGCGTATAGCTTCATTCGCCTTGTTCACTTGCTTGCAAATATGGGCATAGGCGCATCAGTAGCAGTGATCAGGTTGTGTTGGTGTCCTGTTGCAAAAAAATTGCCGGACAAACCAACCACGCTCTTCACCAAATTTGCAACATCTTGCAGCATTCGATCTTTTTTTTTAACAATCAGGTTTATTGATTATCATTGATTCATTCATCTCCTTTTTGTCGATGCTTGATTGGCCAAATCACATTTCATCATCCTGACGCTCTGCTCACACCGTCCGCGCAAAAAGAGATAGCAATAACAAAAAAGAACATACACACAAACAAACACGCCCAGTAACACGCCCTGGGAACCTCCCGCACCAGTGTGTGTGTTATCTTTTAATTCGGTCGGAGACCGACCGACCGACCGACACGTGGGGCCTCCAGGAGTTCACGGGAACGCTCACACGGTCTTCGTGTTCCACCTGGCCATCGATGAGGATCCACACGGAGACGGTCGCGAGCCGCTGAGTGGCTCGCCGGCTTCGCCGGTGGAGCGGCGTGTTCGCTCGAAGATCACCTTTGTGGACTGTGCCAGTTCCAACGGCTTCAAGGAGAGAGTGCTAAACAGAGCGTGCAACATCGACATTACGTGTGGAGGCAAATCATGGGGTCTCTAGACTCTGCTAAAAGACTGGGTGCGGATTGGAGGTGATGATGTCAAGGTATATGTTCGACTATATTCCAAGTATTTGGGGGAGCTCATGGCTGAACGCCAAGTCCTAGGTAAGCGATAGAGGCTTTGCCTTTTAGCAGCGAGTGAAAAACACACTTTGGAATGTTGTTCATGTCGTTGTTGCAAGATTGCACGATCAGATTTGATCCTGCAATGAGTGTGAGTTGACTACGAAGTCAACTACAACATGTAGAATCATCTGGATGAGGACCTCCTCACATGCCTAGTTGCCTGGCTGGCCTCACCAAAAGCGAAACCGAAATCGTTCCTACGCCCTGCGCAGGACACCTCCCTGCAGGGCTTGTCTGAATCCTTGAAGGACCAGGCGTCCGGAGGTGTTCGCGCCAAGGGCTTGGGCAAGGCCTTCTTCCGCCGAAGCCTCTTGACCCAACTCTTGGAGGACCGGAGGTCTACCGGAGGTCTCCACATTGTCTCCAACCGGTGACCAAAAGGTTTTCGGGCACGGGGTTTCGCACATGTTGAGAGTGTTTGCAGTTGGGTTTCTTGTGGTTTCTTGACTTTGGTGGCAATATGTGCCGTGCCTCTTTCAGACATGATTTCAAATTGCCAACTTTCAGAGACTCCACCAACCTTCCGCGATGGCCCAGCAGATGTTTGACATTGACGATTGAAGATCATTCAAGATAAATTTTAGATAATTTTAGTCAAGTCACCAAGTTGAACGACATGGTCATTGCATTACACACATCTTCATGTTTGTGGCTTGTGGTGCTTCAGTTTTACAGTGTGTATGTGTGTGCTTCTTCATAGGATGGACATCCCTGGACCGGGACCCGCCTCATAAACCATAGGTTATAAAGGGTTAGGCTTTGGAACCTAAGAAACAGGACAAGAGAGCAACCTGCCAGTAGCAAGACATAGATGTTGTTGTAGGACTGGACCTCAACCAGTGTTTTCGTGCCATTTCTGAGCAGCAAAGACGGTGTGGCAGGATGCGCTTTGTGGCCGAGAGCAGCTGGTACTCCTGGCCACTGCCTCTCCAGGTAGATGGACGGATGGGATATGGTGGGGCCTAAGGAAGAACAGTGTGAGACAGATCCAATCCTGAGTTGGATCACTAGATTTTGAGCTTGTGCTTGTTTGGGTTGTGCTTGGTGGAATCTTTAGCCGAAGTTGACCCTGAGCCTTCGAAGCGAGACCGTTTTTTGCGAGACTGTGAGGCGGAGGGGAGCAGATGGGAGACTACTTGGAGATGGTGCGACATCTCACACAGGTGGCGGAACAGGAGAAACGTGCGCCTATGGAGGCGGGGATGATGGGTGAGAAAGGGTTTCAGGGGGCGTTGAGCCCTTGCAAGAACACACCTGGAGACACGGACTTGGAGACTGCAAGGGATTCTTTTTGATTTTTTTGCATGTCACGCGGTCAAATTTGGTTGACGCCTTTTTGGCCTATAGTAAAACGTTTGCGAGATGTGACATGATGCAAGTGTGGAATACTTCGATGGGCACTTCAACACGGTGGTCCTCCAGTATTTAACAACCTATCCGACCTAATTATCCCTATTTGTTGTGGAGAAGGTTTGAACAAGACCTTCTCCATCCCAAGCAACAAATCTCCCTGAGTTCCCTCTTAACAATTCTTAACATTGATCATCGGTCATTCTCAGGTCTCAGCATTCATTTTCCCCCACCCTGTTCCGCGAAAAACTTCGTTCAGGGAACTCCGAGCCGAATGGACTGCTTGGGGCATCTGCAAGTGGAGATCGAAGCACTTTCCATGGAGGGCCCTCCCAGCGAGAGCAAGGAAGCACGGAGTCCAAGCGTGGAAGACTCTCTTTGGGTCGTGATGTGTTTACAGAACCAGTCAAAGCGAAAGACGAAGCAGTTGTGGACCGGTGATTACGTACGCGGTGAGCCCATGTGTCCTTTCTCCACATGATATACGTACGTATCGCAAAAATCAGAGGCTAAGCCATAGTTAGTGAAAACAAGAGTTGGCAAGTCATTTTGTCCATGGCTAGAACGCTGCAGGTGACCACCTCGAACTTGAAGATAATGGAATTACGGATTACAACTTTTATAACCCTATGGAACCTTTTGCCAATCTGAAGGATTTGGACTGTTTGCTGTGGTGTGTGTGTGTGAAACCCTTGGAGTCACAGGGAATCCGTTGATTTGAGCAGGCGAGCACAGGAGGCCCATAGAGCTGTGCCCAACGAAGCTCTTTATGGTGACCTCAGGATATGCAGCCTGATCAGCTGCACGTACCTGCTCGAGTGCTAAAGTTCACTTCCTTATGATCCCTTGCTTGTCATTAGAACAGCCTTTGCAGCGTTTACTTCACTGCAGTCACGAGTCCTTGCCGCTTTGAGATGTACGCGTTCAAGGTCGTGGAGGTTGAAGATTTTCGTGTTTCAGACCGCTTTACATACTCACCCTGTTTCCTCAGGTTGTTTAATGTTTCTTTACTTAGGCTGGCGTGTGGCAAACCGCAAGTCGTGTCAGTACGCAATATCTCGAGTGTGCGCGCTTGTGCGTGTGTCATGTGTTGACTGTATACCACTACAAAATTAGTATATATATAATCATTGAAAATATTATTGCAAACTAGAAACATAGTAACTTTAAGTACATAACTATATTGGACTGACTTTTCCATGAGCGACTCTTGCGCAGACCCTGGTTCCACGTCCACCATCAAACACCGTCAACACTCATTCAACATGTCTTCAAAATGCTCACCTACACGATAACATATGATACTTTCTTAGGGGGAAGGGAGTGATGTGGGAGTGATACTCTCTTAGCGAAACCCTCTCCCAAACAAAAAGGTCTCTGCTCCGGAGGCCCGCTTGGCGGCGCTGCAGCGCGTGCTGGCCGAGCGGTCCTTGCGCGAGGCGCCGGAGGCCTTCCAGGTTCAACAGTTGGTGGCACTGCGCCAAGCGCAAGAGGCTTCACTGGCAGCATGGGGTTTTGCATGCGAGGAGGACTTGGCTGCAGTCGCCCGGCTCGATTGGGAAACTGGGAAGTGGGAAGCGAAGCAATCCCATGCAAGAAACCATGTTGAGGGTGACGCACCACGAAATGCTTCAACATGCACCCTCTAATGCCTGCACATCATTACCATTACCATGTCAGAATCGTATTTTTACCATTTCAACTCAACGGTTTTTGGGTTTTCGCAGCCGAGGCGCCATGTTATTTGTTACGCCTGCATGGAGATCCCATGCTCACGGGCTGCCTGGCCTACGTGATCACCGGTTCCCGAATCCTTGGCTCTTCCGGGGACATCTTCCTGCAGGCGGAGGGCACGGAGGGCGAGTTTGTAGTCTTTAAGTTTCAAAGTCTGAGAAATAACATGAAATAACCCTCCTAGGAGAGCACATCATGGAACTGGAGATTTGTGGAGGTTGGGTTTCTACTGTCATAGTTATTGGATGTTATTTGAGTATTGGATTTATGTCGGATGTGGAGTGAATCTGATGTTGAGACAGGTTGAGAGTTCCTAGCCCAGACCAGAAAAGCACATGACTCGAAGTGGCCCGTTGTGGCTCACCACGAAAACGATTCCAAGATGTGAAAGCTCTGCACCAGCGGAGCCCGTGAATTCCTCCTCTTCACCTGATCCCGTGAAGCTTCCGCGGTCGTGAAACCTCCCGGTTTTCGGTGTCCAACGAAGCGCAGTACCCTACTATGGCCTGTACCGTGGCCATGCACTACTATGGTCGACTGGTGTGTGGATGTGATCAAACCCACCCCCGCTGTGCAGGGTTTGGGTATTGCCCCACAGCACTGCCACATTGCAGAGCACAGCGGCGGCCTTTGGCTAACGAATTTGTGCTCGGAGCCACACCGTGTCTTCCTGAACGGCAAGAGCATGGAGGTCCGAAGCGGGCAGCTCATGATGTATGATGTTCAATGATGATTTTCATGTTTGATGACTGCTGATACCATGTAGTTAGATCAAGCGACTATCCCAGAATATGCACTATGTTGGTTGTGTGTCAAAGCTCCAGAATGCTGGTTGACCTAGCAAAAGGAACATCGTCGACTACTGGGGTTTTCAACCTGTCACGATTTCGGGAGGCTTTGAACCATATCCAGATGTGACAACGGTCTAGAGTGTTTGCGTTCATCTTCTTGGATTGGAGGCGAGTTCAGATTAAATGAATCTCTCTCTATATATATATATATACATACCAATACCAATAATTATAGTTCTTCAGATACAATGGATGCCATTGAACCATTAATGACTGGGAGAGAGAGAGAGAGAGAGACGACTCATGCAAAATCACCCACCCAACCCGCCCACCCAGCCAAGGCAACCCAACCTGAACCAATCTAGTGTTTTGTCCAGTTTGAACGTTTGAAAGGCCAGGCCTTGTTCAGTTTCAAAAGCCGGACAATTTGGGCCGCAAGCCACCCCCTTGCCATCATGCTCACGGAGCGAGCTGGGCCAGGCCACCAGCCCAGCTGAGCCTTTGAAACATGGTGATCGCATACAACTGGGATGTGCACTTGAGATGCCTGAATGGACCGATGGCTTTCGCACGGATCGAACGGGGCTTTCGTGTTGTTCGAGCCGGCAATGAACGACATGTTTTTGCGCCCTCATAAGGCACCATAAAAGGCACAGATGGCACTAAAGCCATGGGTTCAAAGAGAAACATAGCTTGCAGAGATGATCTCCCGGTTCTTCAAGGTGTAAAAGTGCAATACTAAATGATCGAAATAAACCCCAATAGAACGATCAGATTGAACAAACAGATTAGTCGGGTTCCATGTCCATTGCCGCGCCCGAAAGAGGGCTGGTTTTTGTTCAACGGAATCCGGTGACCGCTTCTCTTCAGCCACAGATAGATGTGTTTTTGTCACTGGGAGGGAAGGTGAGGGAGCTACTCCATATTGGAACCCGGATCGCAGATGTAGGTAACCCGTCGCAATCCCAGGTCTGCTTTCCATCACACGTGATGGTGAAGGCTGTTCAAATGTTCTTTTTGGAGCCTTGGTTGATGGAGCGACTGAATTTGTGACTCAGTGACTCAGGATGCTGGTGGTGATGAATGAGAACTTGAAGAATTTGGATCTGGAAGCACTGGAAGCTGGAGATTTGTGGAGCCGACCTTTGGATGCTTTGGTCCAACAAGCCAACGAGCTCTTGAAGGAGTTGGAACTTCTCCAAGTCTCCAATCAGTACCATGAGAGGCATCAAAAAGCATGAGGGTTGATGCGTTTCCTTTGAATCAAAGTTGTACTATATAGATGTTAGATTAGCAAAGATATCAGAACATGGTGGCCTGGTGACCCCCCCAGATCATCCCCTGCCGAACATCCTCTATATATAGAATCTGGGAGTTTGAGCCCAAAATGACCATCAGATTTAAACAAAACAATAGACAATTTTGTTATAGAATCAAATATATAAGCCTATCTGAAAAAACCACGACATTTTAAACATGGGGGTCAAAAAAAGTCAGTTTGTTCTCTCAAAATGGGTGCCGACATTTGATTCTATAGAGAGTGCACGCCATGTCGCCAGATTTTATAGAGGTCCTAAGATTTGATTCTATAGAAAGCATCTGGAGTAGTAGAAGGATGGATAATTGATTTTAGGTAGGTTGATAATTCATTTTTTGGAAAGTGCTTGCAGTTGAGGCTTGATATCTGATAATATAACCATTGATGTTCACATTTTTTGCTATCATTTTTCATGATCATGAACACCCATACCCTGAGGCCGCCTGAGGCCCTTGATTCGATAGTGGACAAACTGATTTGGGAGCCTGTTTTTTCGTTGTATAACTATAAGAAACATCTCAAGGTACACCGGTAATTCCACAAGGGATCCCAAATCTATATACAGCAAACAGATGCTATATATTTCAAATTCGCTTCACTTTTGGCTAAACCCAGAGCAATCAACGACGGACCACAGGCTACAAGTATTTTTCTGCTCATGCTCATGTTCAAGAACTCAGCTATATATAGTTATTTTTTCGACCCAGAAGTAAGAACCATGTCAGTCATGGTCAACAAACTGATCCTTTCAATCTCCTGCATGGAGATGTTGGCTGATTTGTTTTAATCAACATGTTTGAACCCCGTGTGCACTAGGAAATGGGTGGCCCTGAGGGCTCTACTGTAGGAGACAGGTTGTTATCTTGTAGCCTACCCTTGGATTTTTTCCCAAAACTACTCATTTTCTATAAACTGAAGTTTGAAGATCGCTTTAAAAAAGGCCTTCCAGAACCACCCATTTTATATTGATTTTCCAGGCGCGGGGGTCCCTAAACGGCACTTTCTAGTGAGATTTTCTGAAGAGCAAGATCGCTGAGGTGCCGTTTTCTAGTGAGATGATGGCGCATGAAAAGGTCCAGCAGTGCTTGGCAAGAGGGCATGCCCAAGTTCTTCATAATCAACATGATTGTGTCAGGATCTGCATGAATCTGGTGTTCTAGACTTAGACAAAAACATTGAGAAATGCTTTCAGGAAACACCAAATTGCGATAGTTGGCGCGAGATACGATGAGAGCACTCTGCTGAGATGATCATGTTTGAGAGTCCTAGCATGTCCTAGCTAATTCACTGGAGAATGGGTGGACCCCCACCCAGAGTTACTGGAAATCTTAAGGGCCCAACCTCCAAGTAAAATGTTTAAGTGATTCCCATGAGCCCACTAGTAAATGGAAGACATGACCCTCAAGGTATTATTGTCAGAATTTGTAAAGGAGGTTGCTGTCAGGCATTCTCTAGTGGCAGTTTGTTGATGTCGAAATTTTAATTGTTTTGAATTGTTGAATCTGTAGCCCACCATTTTCTAGCTGGATGCCAGCCCATTCATTCCCCAGTGCTCAATTCCATGTCCCGCCGTTTCTGTGCTAGAAGATGTGGGCCCCAACCCCACCACGGCAATCATCACAGTGATATTCTTGGCATGCAATACTTTTAAGTGTAGTTACTATATTAGTTATATATATATAAATATAATGTAGTTGCATTGTTTGTTTAACAGGATCCTTTTTTGGGGGGGGGGAGGGCAGCCTTTTCAACCCACAAGATCTCTGCATTTTCATCCACCAAGGCACAGCCATTTCGAAGTCCCCGAAGTCGATGGTGGAGCCTCTCCGGTGCGCTTTGTGCGCTGGGAGCACTCGGAGCGGGAGTCTGGCGAGGTGCTGGCAAGCTTCGAGGTGCCGTTGGAGGAGTTCCAGTCCGAAGTCAAGCGACTGCAGGAGACGGTGAATGCTCAGGTCTTCGCAGATGATCATTCTGTTTGGACTCAGTTGTGTTCCGTTTTTTTTGTTTGAGGAAAGTTCTCGGATGTTGCTTTGGCGGGGGTTAGGAAGAGCAAAGGTTTAATCAATTGTTTGCCTGTATATGTTTTTTGTTTCTTTTTTTTTCGGTGTGTGTTTGATGAACAAGTCAATTAGTCAATGCTTTGATATTTTTGTAATTATTGCAGGAGTTGTATCGCTCTCCTCGCAAATCAGACGTCACGAACTCAGCCAAGAGTTTCGATTGCGTGGGTTGTGAAGACCTTGACAAAATCACTATGTCATTTTGTGAAATTCCCTTTTCCTTTTACCCTTCGTGTTCATCAGTTCATCTTACATGAGTGAGGGACCCGAGAAAGATAGAGAAGCAAACATGTTCAGGTTTTACACCGTGCAAAACCCAGGTTATTTGGGGCTTCTTTGGTTTCCTTACGTTCCCAGGCACCCAAAGAGAGCCCGGACACAGCGAGCCACCGCACTGATACAGCGAGCCACCGCGTTGACAGCACCAGAGAAGGGCTGCAGGAGACGTGGTGCATCAACCTATGTTGCATGACATTGCCAAAAGAGTCATTTCACGTTCTGGTAAATCTTGTAAATGAGCACATCATATACGGCACGATTTGTCAAAGAAGTCGTCACTTGGTCAAGTCCAAGACCCAAAGCAAGAGGTGGGGGGCCCGGGTGCAGGGAGACAGCTAGCTAACTAACTATGGACTGCAACAATGCTAACTAATCGGCAACAAATATGATAAATTGTATGAATATATATAATATATATATATGTAATTATAGTATGTATTAATATGTAGCTGTTGGGTCGGAGGTCATTGTTATTAGGTTGGAGGCCATCGCTATTAGGTTGGATTATGTATCGCTATATACTATATTTTATCAGAACCGCCCTCGGCCAGACGCATCCCCTCCACCAGGCTGGACGGCCGGAGCTGGCCGAGCTCGCGCAGGTGGAGAGTGCCTTGTGGCACAAGGAGAAGGCGGTGGCCGCGTCCATCCGACGGGCCCACAGCCTCTCCCAGTGTATCGGGGAAACAGTACCTTAGGCTTGCAATGGCGCAATATATTGGGAGGTATTGTTTTTCTTCATGAAGGGGGGTGGGGGCTGGGGGGAGTACGGGCTCGAGCTGTCGCACTGCATGAAAGGACATGTTATAGATCTTGATAGGTCTCCGTGCTTCCATCGCCCGTCTTTCAACCGGGGTTCCAGCCGCCAGCTAGGAGTGTTTCCAAATCAAGAATCTTTGGTATGTAAAGAAAGAACGCTACTAGTAGCAAAGGGCATCGCTACTAGGAGCGGTCGGACGCTACTAAGGGCTCCTGGCATCACTACTAGGAACAAGAAGATCAAGAAGCTACTAATATATGTGTTAGTCAAGCTTTTTCACACAACATCTTTCACTGAGGTCTCTGCTTTGCAGGAGACGGTGGCGGATCTGCGGCGTGGGGCGGCTGGCGCCTTCACACCGGTAGAGGCGTTTGAGAAGCTTCAGGATGAGAACCAGGATTTGAAGCAGAGGTCTGACTGAGATGGGTCCGGAGGAAAGAGCATGGGTCCGGGTTCTGAAATGAGATGGGAACCGCATGGGAACTGCTAAGAAACGATCGTCCTTTCTTGATTTTTTGTGTCTCGATGTAGGTTGGATCTTCCAGTAAGTAGCATGTGCTCGTGTTTTGTGTCCGAAGATCCTTTTTGGGGATTGTCTTGGATAAGAGGTTCGGGGAAGTTTGTTTGGGGAGTGGAGTGGAGTCAAGATAGCTCCATCTCATCATGGGAGGGTTCTTGTTAGGTGGATGGGGTCCTTGGGTGGTCCTAGGATGATCGCTGATATATCCCAACCTCAACGAGTTGGGAGCCCTACCCGTTGTGGTATTGGTTCTTCTCTTCGTGTTCGGGTCTTAGACGCGATGTTCAAGCCCCCGGGTATGGCCATCCTGACACATCATGACACTATGATATTTGGATTTGAGTTCTGAAGTTTTTCTTTGGGGTATATATCACCTGTTGTCTTTCACATGTCATGTCTTTCTTTTTTATGAACTGACTGGTCCGTGCCGTGTTTGGTGTCTTGTTGAGCTTCTCCCATCCAGGTTAGCACGCCTGGAGAGCCACTGGGCTGAGACCTGGAAACCCAGTTCGCAGCGGAGCAGTGCGGCGGTGCCCTCCGAGCCCTCCACCGCCAGTGCTCTGAGCGCGGCGACCTCGGTCGATCGGCTGCGCAGCGCACGGCCCCGCGCCGTCCCACGGCCGAGTGTGGTGGTGCGCAGCGGGCGGATGAGCTCACCGGTGCCGACACGAGCAGAGTGGCCAAGCGTGTTGAGGTCGCAGTATCTTTTGTTTTGGGTGTTTCATTCTATATATAATAGTTACAGATTTCCTGATGAATCTAATAATATCTAAAATATTTTGGGTCTAAGATATCTATATATAAGCATGTTTAAGGTGTCAGTGCGGAGCTAGAACATATTGTAAAATGCAATACAGCTAAGTAATCCTTGCCGTCCATATTGAAGGTAGTCAGTCTAGTCATTCGTCATCCACGAGAGGTGATATACTGGAAGTGCACGGCCTTGTCATGGATTGATTTTTTTGTCTTGCATGTTGCATTTGTTTGTCTCAAAAATGCCCCAAACTCCAACTCCAAGGCCTGTGGCGGGTCCCTACCTGATGCGGCGCACCTTGCCGGTGCCCCTCCTTCGGCACGCTACAGAGGTGTCACAGCTTCGAGTACCACATCCGGACGCAGACACAATGTACATGCCGGTGCAAAGAGTACACCAGGCGGCAGGCTATTTGATTTACACCCGCCCCTCAAAGTAGAAAGTCGAGATTCAATCTGCGAAGGTGTTGTAGTTCCGATTTTCTAAGCACATATTAACAGGCATGTCATGTTCAAATGCTGAGATTTGTCGAATTTCGAAGCTCGTTTGAGGGCAGTGTAGCAATTGGTCTGGACAGGTTAATGCGAAGATGTAGCAGTTGCAACTGGTTGCAGAATTTCTGCGATCTGACTGTAGGAGCTGGTCACTTAGTGGCTGGCGCTTGAAAAAGGAGTTTGAAGGCAAGATGGACATGTTTAGATGTCTCATGATGTCTCTAGACATCCTCCAGTGACTCAACTAAGTCAACTAAGGGTTCCAGAGGCCCCCCCCTTCTTAAAGCTTCGAGGCCTTGGTGCTTTGGACACCTGAACTTTGACTGATCTCCCTATCTCTTCTATTCCTTTTCCGCTCGCAGAATCATTCGGATCGAGCCAAACGGACATCACCCGACTCGCATCACCGGAGCCTCACCCGACTTGGGCCACGCGGCCGGCTGAGGTTTTGCCAACGACAGGGCTTCGGCCCCGAGAAGGCGACGTTGGGCGAGGGACGTTTGGTGTGACACCGACACCCAAGTGTGAAATGTGTGGTCTTGGACGAGGGTAGTGACGAGGGTGTCAGAGGAAGAACAAGAGTTTTTTTGTTGTGAGTTATATATATATATCCAAAGGCATCATGGACGTATGTCTTTGATTGTGTTTGTACCAAACTGTTCACCAGTGAGTACAGTGATTGTTTTTAGTTGGATGCCTGTTAGACAAGAATCCATTGATGGAGCTTGGAAGGTTTTACCTTCACTCGACCCACAACATCTCAGGCGAAAGATGGCACCATTTGGGCCATTACAGAGCTGACTTCATCCAAGATTCATCTTGTAGGCTGAGGCAATGAAGAGATCCTGACTCAGCTGACTTCATCTAGTCTTTTTGCTCCGTTTCCCATGGTTCCATCTTGTTGAAGACATCGATTGGCTCTTGACACCAGGACGTCATTGGCTGGTCATCTGTGTAGCACTCGATCGAGTCGCGAGGCCTCCGCACTGCTTTCCTTGATGCGTGTGCTGCACAGCCAGACGGCGCGAGAGCTCAGACAGCGCCAGATGGCGACCCTTCGGTCGGATTCGATTCGCGGAGCCAGACGAAACGTGGAGAGTCCGACCCTTCGGTTGAAATGAGACGTTTGGACCCACCAGATGACAAGAAACAGGTGGTGCGGGCTCTTCCGAGTCTTTCGAACAACCACCGTCAGGAACTACCAAGCATGACTTTCAGATACTTTCAGACTGCATGTGTGATGCTTGATCACAAGAGTGAGGACCGTCAATGCCTTCCATACTCGTTTCTCATGTCCTCATCCACCAAGCAGTACAATACCCTCACCAATCCTCACCAAATAGCATTTGACTAGCTGAGATACAGTCTCAGATGACCTACTGGAACTGGGTATACCATTCAGCCTTGCATCCACCTTTACTCTATGCAGAACATCTGAATTGGAAGCTTTGTGCAGGAAGGATCAAGTGACTGCCGCCAGAGCTCTCTTCCAGACTCCCCTGAGGGTGCCCAGCCTCTGGCTCGATCCGTCTCAGCCTCCTCGAGCGGCTCGTCCAAGGTACCGAAAAAGGGCTCCAATGTTCAGGAGGCCTGACGGAGGGACGTGCGAACCCACAGGTGGGTGTGGGTCGATCTGAAAAAGCACCTGAAGTTCAGTGAGCTGAACAAATAATGAGAAAACGTAAGAATCATCCCTCACGGACGATTCGAGGTTTTTGGGTGCCAACCAGGATCCTTGACTCTTGACTCGATCTATAGCTAGTTGATCTATCATTCTCCTGCCACCTTCAATGGGCAGGGTACACTCGCATGGACTTTAAGCACTTTTGGAACATTAGTTTAACAATTTTATCATTTTAACTGAGAGTCACTTACTGTAGAAAGTTTCCTTTTGACCACCCACCACTCAAATAACAGGTCACTTCAAGCTTTGTCGGATTTGTTTGCAGTGCAGCTCTGTTCTCGCTGGGTTCAGGCCTCGGAGCTCCTTGAAGAGCTGCTCGCAAGGCGAGCGACGCGGCGATTCGCGACGACATGACGCATGGCCACAAGGGACTTGGAATTCTCCAAGGCAAAGTATTTATGTGAAGTCATGTCCAAACAGATGCTGGCTGAATGGAATGAGAGACCCCAGAAATTCTGCAGAATCTCAGTCAGACACAGTGCATCAAGATTCTCGTCCGCCAATTCTTCACTGGTCTGGAAGATGGACCAAGTCACTAAACCTCTGTTCTCACTGGATCTGACACCTGTGAGGCATAGCCGGCAGCTGCCGCCTTTCAGTGAGACTCCTCAGCCCTGGTCGGAGGGCAAGAGTTGAGTTGGTGCTTAGTGGATCACGTTTGTTCGCATCGTGTGGTTTTTCCATGTTTTTCCGATGTGCAAGAACCATGTGGTTTTCCAACCGGACCGGTGCGTCACTTCGCATTCTCCTCGCACCACAAACCACCGATCGACCGGTCGTGAAGTGCCAGACCCGGATCCCCACAGAATCCCACTCCGGTACCTCCCGGTACCTCTATAGGTACCTCTAGAATCTAGAAGATCAGTTTGCTTGAAACGTTTGAGCATCTATGTCCAGAGTGAGAGGGTGTTTCCAAGAGCCAGCTTGGAACATTTGAAGGACTGAATGTTGATGGTGTTGCCTATTCGAGGACAATTTCCTTTTGCTGGTTTCCTGGTGTGGTGGGATCTCTGACTATTTATATCACAAGTTGTGCAGCGGGCAAATTGGGATTGAGGAGTGCCGTATTCCGGAGAAAAGTTCTGAGACACTGTGCCAGACACAGAAGCGATAAAATTATGGCATGGCCACAAGAAAGGCCAGTGAAGGTGTCGTGTGCAGCAGCACCATGCGTGTATGGAGTAGAACAATGGAGCGCATCAACAGTACGCACGACGTACCCCCTCGTAATACCTTAGTCCACAATAGTCCAAATGCAATGTAACATGGTTGTGATTCGAAGAAATTCTTCCAAAGTCCATGTCGAGGTTCCATTGAAGAGATGCAAACAGAGCATGCCTATATATATATATTGTGGGTTTAAGAGGTACCCCCTAGGAGCATCCCTTAGGGTCCCAGAACATTTTTGAGATGGAAGGACTTCAACAGCTTTGGACATGAATAGACATGAACATAACATGACCCCAGTTCTATGACCGGATAGGCACTGATGTGGCCGTCCCCAGACCGACAGCCATGGCATCGCACCACGTCGCAGGTGTTGGGATCTTCTCTCAAGAGGACGTCTCCATCGTCGCTTGGTGGAGAGATTCTCCAGACAGAAGACGAAGGATATCCACTGTCCGACATCCAGTTTCCCTTCCTTCTCCGGGGCAGAGGATTTGGATGACATCGCATCTTGTTTTGGATTTTTTACACAAAACATGGATTTGTTAGTTGCTTCATGTTGTTTCTGCGCGGACGCTGCTTCGTCCGTGCACTGCTGGGCTGCAATCGCCCCCACCGGACCTGGGGCAACACTGACGTTTGAAACCCCCCATGTTCGGGTGAAGACTGGACTCTTTGAGAGAAGGGTGATGTCGGTGATGTGTGTTCTTGATTTGTTTGGTTGAACGAGGGAGTCTGTTGATCCTGAATTACTTATGTTTCTTTAAAAAACACACATGTATGCCTGCTTGAAATCTCTGAGCATACGAGATCTTGTGCATCCTTGTCCTTTTTGTTACATGTGATTGAAAAGAGCAGAGGAAGGGTTGGGATAGGTTTAGAGACGTTTTCAATATTCATTTTCAGTGTCAATGCGGTGCTGATCTCTGGGCAAATCAGTGTGTTTTAATCGGTCATTTTTCGCTCAGCAAAAAAACAGATTGATTTGACCTTTGACCAAAGCACCCAAGTGAGCAACGATTTGGGGTCTTGGGATAATCAGTTTGTTTAGTTGAAGATATGCGATCGAACATGTGTATGGCTTGTGTTGGTTGTAGGGGTGAGCCGGTTTAGAAAAGAGCCAGCAAACTAAAGTCACAGGTGACAAGTCTATCAACAAGTGCTACTTTGCGGCCAGGTACCGGATACTGTGTGGGTACAGGATGCGTGATACACCGTACCAGGGTCAACCTAGGGTACCATTGTGTTGGGGCATGGACGTACTCATCAAGCCCACTCACCGCACTCATTTGTCACCCACTGAGCCCATGTCCTGTTTAGGTCTACTCCTCCAACCAATTCTGAAGATGTGACCATGACACCGCGAGCGCCTTCCCGATTGCTGCTGAGATACGATCCTTTGTCACACGGCGGGGGAGCACTGCAAATGGAGTTCGTTGCACTTGCGACGTGCCAGGATTTTGGATCTCTATTGATGCACTGTGAATCTCTTTAAGAAGAGGGGTTGCCAGTGTTGCCCAAATGGTGTAGACCTTGTCCATGAATTCTTGAAGCAGAAGAGAGCTCACTTCTCCCTTTTCTCAGCGAACCATTTCTTTTGAATCTATCCCTCGTCATAAACAAAAAACTAAGATTTTGTTTTTAAGGGCCCGTGTCCACAGCCAATGCGTGTGCACGCGGACATATTAACAAGAATAGGGGCCTGTTCCGTGCAACATGCTAGTTTCACAAGGGCCCCTTGGCTGTCCCTAAATCTCATCGCTTAAGCATCTTCTTCTCGTCTCCCTGACACAATGAAATTCCACAGATGTTTTGCCCGTCGTTACTTTTATATTCTTCGGCTCGGCTTGTTACTTGAGATCCTTCTTGCGGCACTTCAAGATGTTCCAGTTTATGTACAAGCAGCAGCAGGCGGGGTTTTTGAGGCATTGCATGTGACAGATAACAGCGCCCCTGCTGTCGTATCCTTGATTGAGCAGACCAAACAATTCAAAACCTGGTGTATATGCGAACCATATTTCGATGGCATGGGTTTTCTAGAGAGATCAGAGCTCCGGCCTCGATCGACTCGACCCAATCCGATTGGCAGGATCTACACCTTTGCACTGTTGCCCGCGGCG